TGAAGGTCTGATGAATTCCAAAAGATCAGCTAGTCTTCAGTCTACAGCAGCAAGACGAACTCATCAGTGAGAGAGAAGGCAAGCAACAAAAGGCAAGGCATTCTCCTCTGCCCTGGCCTTTTATACGGGCTGCCATCAGAAGGTAACACCCACATTTAGGGGGTGTCTTCCGGCTTTAGATGATCCAATCAAGAAGATCTCTTTCATTTCAGTTAATCTCAGATCAAATCAAGTTGACACCCAGGATTAGCCATCACAGTGGTCCTCTGTAGGCCATGAAGCATCAAGCATCACAGCCCAAATGTAGCTGGTTGGAATCCATGAGCACAACTGACAGGTGACCTTAAGGACAAATAAGAATAACAGGGCACCATGATCCAACTTTTGTTTTGAACCACGTAGTCTGGGACTGAGGACATAGCTCAGAGGGTAGAATGCTTGCCTTGCATGTGTGAGGCCCTGGATTCAATCTCTAACACTGCAAAATCATCATATTTGCTAGGTGTGGTGGTACACACCTCTACTTTCAGCAACTGGGAGGCAGAGGCAGGATTACTGAAAGTCTGAGGCCAGCCTAGGCTGCAGAGTGACTTGTAGACCAGCCATGGCAATATCAATACACTGCCTGACAAAAACCAACCTCAACCCCTACATATCCTAGACATGACTTCCCAGTAGCTATAGACTGTTCGTAAAGACTGTGGTCATTTGTTGGGGACCCCTGTTGTGTAAAGTAGCAGTCTCTCCATGTCTGGATAGCCCATGGGCTCAGCTTCATATGCAGAGACTCCTTTTATCAGCAGGGTGCCTTCCCAGCATCTTCCTGACTCATCTTTTGAAGTAGCCATCACAGAAACATGGCCTCTGGATCTGAAACTGTCAGGTTTTCCTGTGCGATTTTCAGGCAGTCTGACAGCCTGGCAGGAGCCCACCTCTACATGTAAATAGGGCATCCCACAAAGTACCTATCAGCTAAGGCTTTTACCACTGCCCCCACAGTATAAAGTATCCTGGTTTTCCCTTAATAATCAGAGCTGGATCACTGGGATCTGGAGCCGAGCTGAGTCACTGAATAAAGGAGCTGTACCACTGACTGAGCTGAGTTCTGTGTCTTACTGCCTACGATCCAGCCTTCCCGGAAAGGGCTATCTCTTTGTAAACCACAACTCAAGGATACCCAGCTTTTGCCGTTTCTCACACCTCCCCTCGTGACCTGGTGGCCAACAGGTCCTGAACTTAGAGAGAGAGTGCACGGCGGAACCCGACCGGGCCAGCCCCGGTAGCAGAGAGCCTCAACAAAGCAGAGAAGCAGAGACCCGCCAACAACGCGGAGAGCCAGGGACCCAAACAGCAGATGCGGCCCGCGGGACCCGCCGCACTCCAGCGACCTGTGGGAGACCGGCGCCATGCCCAGCAGCTGGCGCCCCGAGATCCCCGCACACCCATAGATAGTAAACTCTGACCTATAACCCCTGCAGCAATCAGCCTTGCAGGCTAAACCATAGTCTTTGAGTAGTAATAGGCTCACACTGGACTTGGTCATTGACTGCTTCCATAATCATGCCTTACTTGAAACTCAAAACCATTTAGAGAAAGAAAAATGTGCTCCCAATCACATAGGATGTGCAGTAGATTCCAGTTAACCCACTTTCAGCTTCCCATGCCAACAGACTCCAGGTAGAGTTGCACCAGAGTCTTTCCTTTGCTTTTCCCTATGAAGCACTGTGTCCACTGTCTAGGGAAACCTCTAAACTTGGTCAATTCTCAAAGCTGCCTTATCTGAAGTTATAGTCCCCAACCCTTCAAATTGCTGGATGCTGTATTGGAGATGGTATATTTTATATATTAGCTACTTTCACATGATTGTGATTAAAATATGAGCCAAAAACAACATAAGGAAACACTGTAAAGAACTGCCTTGGGGGCTGAGACAGCAGCCCTGTCCCTGTTCAGCCTGGTGCTGTACTTGGCCCCCATGGTGGAGACTGAGGCTCCAGCCATGATGTTCTGAGGTTCGGTGCCTTGTGTTCGGTCCTTCCCATTCCTTAGATGCAGCATCAGCAAACACTGCTCACCCAGCTCCAGCCAAGTTCTCATAGTTCTGTGTCTGCCCACTCGAGGGACCCTATTTGAGGCACTCACTAGAGGGACTATGCTCGAGGGATCCAGCTTGAGGGACCCACTCCAAGGATCCTGTGCTACAAAGACCTGACCCAGGGCAAGCTGGGCTTTCAGGTCACCCACACAACCCATAGTATCTGCCAGGTTCTATGCAATTTGCTCCAGGTCTCATTTCCCAGTCTCCAGGAATTTGTCCCACCAGGACTATAGGACTTCAACCTCTCTGCAAGTCATAAAACCTCAGATACTCTCTCTATTCAATCCATTAGGCCTGGTATTCCACTATGGGGGTACTGCACATGGTATATTGGAATAGTCTGCAGAAAAGGTCATTATTATTTGCTGAGTGCTGTTCTAGAATGACTGTGATGATCCGCCCCCCACCAAATAGGAAACTAAGGCATTGTTCACTGCTAAAGTGGACCATACTCAATCTTGTCCTTACCATCTAGTAATACCTCAGACCGATTGCCAAGGTATACCCCAGGCCCATGTGACTGCTGTGGGTACCCACAAGGCAAAGAACAAAAAGACAAGAGAAGGCCTAGTATTCCTTGATATCCAGACCATCGACTCAATACTGTCCTCACCACCAAGAAATAGGCAAGGACTAGTGCCAAGGACAGAATTCAGAATGACCTCAAAGACAAGGAAGAAAAGATACTAGAAATAGATCAAGTACTCATAGGTGGCCAGGAGAACAAGAGAAGGACCCTTGATATCAGCATGAATGGATGATCAACGTTTAAAGGTAATTAATGGAGTTTCTACTCAGGTTGTGCCTAAGCATGGGTCCTTGAAGAAATATCTCACTTCACAGAGCATTCATCCCAAGCTCCACCCAAAATGCAGTAATTAGTTCCTACAGTTACAGACAGGACATCTCTCGGCGGTGGAAGAAGAGGGGTCCCATTTCACCACCCTTCTCCAGCCCAGCCTCCTCCTGCTCTCAGGAGGGGTCAGGAAAGAAAAATAGGTGAGATATGTCACCATTCAGTGAGAGATGATTCCCAAGGAGAAAAGGCTAAAGACAAAAATATATGGGTGTATATACCTGTTGGGCAGCTTTCTGCAGTACAAAGGGAAGATTTCCAGGCCAGGAGACCAGCTGATCTTGCCTCCAGCTCCCTGCTTGGTTATTCCATCACCATTGAAGACTTCGATAAGGAGAAGAAAGCTCTGATACAGTGGATTAACAAGGTCTTAGAGGACAAGACAGATGCTGTCTCCAGGTCAGTCAAAGATATATCACCTGTCACCCACCTTCTGTATATTTTCAGCCTGCCTGCCATGGGCCCTGCTGTCTCACAAGCTCCCTCCTCAGTCCTGGCTGCAGCCTCACACAGTGCCACCAACCCCTTGTAGGCATGTGCCATCCTCCCCGTGATATCTGGACCACAAATCCCTTTAAACCTGTATTTGGAGTCATGCCCACATCTACCTCTGAGCAGTGTAGACCTGCCTTGGGAGTGGGCACTGCAGGCAGCAGCCTCTAGACTACGGAGACTCCTCAGCTTCGTCCTACACCACCCTCCACACAATGACCAGGACCACTGTCCCACCTTTTACGTCCATTTTGACAACCAAGGGCCACGTTCAGCTGTCTTTTCATCAGCCCCCTTGTCTTTACAACAGACAACTACTCTGCCACTGGTACAACCAAATATGCCACTATTTTCACAGGCATAGGCACTGTGAAAATGATGTAGTGCCACAGCCTCACCTTGCCGTCTGATTTGGGTGATTTGTCTTTAGGGTGTAAACACCCTGCCTGGACTGTCAGCAGCACAGTCACTTCTGCCTCTCAGCTTCAGCTCTCTGGGGCTCCAACTGCCCCTACCCACAGCTCTACCCTCGACTCCACATACCAGGACAGCAAGCTCCAGGCCTTGCATCAGAACTCTTTAGCGGCACCTAACAAAGCCTGCTGCTAAACGTATATTTGTAGGACTTTCCATATCTACTTTTGTCTCTGGAGAGGCCTGTCATTTGGGCCCAACTCGGCCCAGCCTGTAGCCTGGTCCAGCACCACCCTCCACACAACAGCCAGCACTGCCACCCCACCTTTCATGCCCATCTTTGCTAGTCAAGGGCCACATACAATTGTGTCTGCATCAGCCCCCTCCTTGCAGCGGATGATTGACTACTCCACCACTCATGCAGCCACATCTGCCCCATCTCCACAAACCTCAGCACTGCCAACTCCAAAATGCCCTAAGCACCGTCCACAACCACAGCCTCTAGTGCAAAGCTTGTCCTCTGATTTGGGTGGTTTGTCTTTGGGGTGTAAACATGGTGGCCAGCCTGCCAGCAGCACAGTCACGTCAGCCACTCAACCACTCATCTCTGGGGTTCCTGCTGTCCCTGCTGTCAGTTCCCCATTGGGCTCCATATCGCAGGGCAACGAGCACTCTACTTTGCATCGGAATGCTTTGGGCATACCCAGTCAGCAGGCACCCAATGTGGCCAGCACACCCACAGCCAAATGTGTATTTGGAGGAATGTCCACACCTATCTTTGCCTCTGGAGTGGACACCACAAGCAGCAGCCTGTCCTTTGGACCCTCCTCAGCCCCTACTGCAGCCTAGTCCGGCACCACCCTCCCTGTGATTGCCAGTCCCTCTCCGGCAGCCAAGGGTTACAGCCAGGTGTCCCCTCATCGTCTCCCTTCTCCTTGCAGCAGACAACTGCTCCATCACGGGTGTAACCAGATCAGCTGCTGTCTTTGCAGGCCTTGGCACTAATATGTCTATGGCAGTGGTGGCAGTAGCATCTACTGCTTGAATCTCTAATTGACAGCCTGTTTGACTTTACATTATAAACACTTTAGCCTACCTGTCAACAGCACCATTACTTCTGCATCACACCCACACTTTTCTGGAGCTCTTGTTGTCTCTGCAGCCAACCTACACTCCACCTTACAGGGAAGGAAGCCTCCCACCAACCATCAGAATATTGTAGGCACACACAGCCAGCCTATTCCCTTTGCCTCCAATGTGACCAGCAAGCCTGCACGTGTCAATTTGGAGGCATGTCTACATCTACCTTTGGGCACAGCACTACTGCTTCCCGTAGTGAGCTGCACTGGCAGGACCCTGTCCCATGATGCCTCCTTACCACACATCCAAAACTTAGTTAGAGTCAAGTCTTTGGGATCTGTGGCCTCTTCTCTTTCCATTGGTGCAGAATCCAAGACCCTAGTATCTCAACAGACACTGCAGGCCCAGAAGCATCTCACTCTAATGAAACAGCTTGTCCTCTTCCCCAACTCCTGGCCTATATCTGAACCTCAGTTATTGCTATGGAGAGCCTGTGACCATCACCATTCCATAAAGCAAACCCCATCTAGCCCTCTGGCTTCAGCTAATAGGGCAGAACTGGCAGCCTATATCCTTTCCCTTCTGGAGGAAGCAGGAGACTCAGAGGAAGGGCAGGAGGTGGTGGGGCAGAAGCCTGATACCTTTATCAGTGAGGCTGGAGAACAAAAGAAACACCAGAACATACTGTCCTCTGTTGGGTTCAGATCTTAGGTAGTCTTCTCTTTTTTTCTGGTGACCCTTGTGATGAAATTAGCATCAGTGGAAGGAAGAAGTTTTTGCTTCCCCAGGGTCCCATCCCTTAGGCTGCTGGCCCTTAAAGTCAAAGTACTACTGGAAAATGGAGTCAACTCTGTGGTCATCAAGTGGAGTCACTTTGTACAGTCAATTAGCCAGGCCCAGGAGACTTGTAGCATTTAGCTCAGCACTACCAACATGCTGCCACACAGAAAATTCAATTCTTTTTCCAAACTCAATTCAAAGAGCAACATGTGAGCATCAGACATAGGACAGTCTCGGACATACACTCTGGAAAAAGCTGATGTGACCTGTAGGCAGAAGACAGTGTCCTTGCTAACAGAGCTTTAAGTACACTCCATTTTTTCCCAATCCATCTGTTTTGCACCTCCAACCTGTAGGCCACATCTGCTTCTCCCAGACTGACAGAGCCATGTAAACAACTGTCCCTCCAAACCTCAAAACTCCCTGATTTTGAGTTATTGCCAGGCTCCCCGAGTGACTTCAAGTCCCAATGCCCCCAAGCCATGTATTCCTTGTAGCAGAGCCTGATTGTCCCAGAGCATCTATTCCTTATGGAAATATTATAAAAGTAAGAACATAACTATGGTCCCCAGATGTGGATATGTACCCCATCCCATCTGTCATTTGACACTGGGAGGCACACCTTAGTGGCTCATATGATTACAGTATCTGCTTTCACCTGTCCATCATACCTGCTCTCTCCCCAACCAGAGGCAGTTGTTTCTTTCTCAAACACAAATGCTTAATTCTAAAACATTCACAACAAAATGAAGTAGGAAAATATGAAGGGAGGACGTTCCAGAGGTTAATACATGAAAGGCAGCAGCAGGGGAGAGACTGGCAGCTCTTAACCCACCTGAGCTTCATTCAGCCAAGGGAGCATGCTCAGAAAAGCCTGCATTCTATGAACTTAGGAGAGGTAGGGCTATGCTAATGATTCATAAAATGTATGTGAGGGGGACGCTCTGGAGAGATGACTCAGCAGTGAAGAGCACTGGCTCTTCTTACCGTGGACTCAAGTTTGATTCCCAGCACTCACAAATCAGCTAACAGCCGTCTCTAACTCCACTCCAGTTCCAGAGAAATCCAAAGTTGCTTTCTGACCTCCTCAGGCATTGCACCATACAGGTGCACTTACATACATGCAGGCAATACACTCATACACATAAAAATAATATTTTTAAGAAGGTCCCTAGGGACCTCGCCTCAGCCCTTCTTTCTTGCCATATGGGAGCCAGGCCTCAGGGAAGGCATGATATACCTTCAGGCCACTCTATATCTTCCCTTTAATAAACTATCCCCTTTTTTGCAAATATCCAAGAACCTGGAGACCAACATCTTCCCTATAGACTAACATCTGTATTCATAACAGTTTCGGGAGGCAGCAAGGGAATAAGGTAAGACAAAATGCTTCCGAATTTCTTTCTTTCTCAAAGAGCACAAAACTGCTTTTCTGTCCTTTCTTGGGCACTTAGAACTTAGGGACATTTCTGGGAGTGGATTAACAATAACTTGGGTCAATGAGATTCAATCTCCTTTCCTCTCAACTTAAAGTGCATCTACACCCTCTGAGAACTGTATACACTAAAGGGTTCTAGTCAGGCTAAAACGATGAGTTCTTCCCATTCCCAGGACTCATAATTATTTATGCTCCATGCTTTATTTATTTCCATTCTAGTATATCCTAACTCTCAATTCTTTGCTATTCATTTACTATAGATAGTCTTATCCCTGCATTTAGAGATTATACCCTGATAGCAAGGCCTTCCCTTGAGCAAATGATGCCAAGAAAGCAAACTAGATTCTTGGTTTTTAAGACATTTTAAAGGATGTATTGGTTTTAAGACATTTGGTTTCTTTTGGTTTTAAGACATTTTAAAGGATGTATTTATTGGGTCCTGAAGGGAACTTAGTTTATCTTGTGCCTCCAACATAGCACGACCAGAGAGGGCAGTTTTTCTTTTTTGGGTTTCCTCCAGTCCATCCAGACACTTAAAAAAAAAAAAAAAAAAAGATTAATGACCATTAATGACCTATCTGAAAGAGACAATCACACATTTTCTATGGGGAAAAATAAAAGGTAAAGTTTTATCCCTGCTGATCAAGGCGACTTGTGGGTACTGACCCACTAGTTAGGAACCTTAGTCCTTGTTGGTTAATGTAACTCTGGAATTGTGGGGAGAACATGCTACCCCAATTCCCCATAAAATTCCCAGTAAGCTTTTTTTTTTTTTTTTTTTTAAGACAGGGACTCCCTGTAGCCCCAGCCCCAGCTAGTATAGAACTCACTATATAGACCTGGCTGGCCTCACTCTCAGAGATCTGCCTGTCTCTGCTTTCTGAATGTTCAGTAAGCTTTTGAGCATTGGTTCTTGCCAACCAAAGTAACTCTGAAATTGAGCTGTACATGCTACTGCTGATTCCCGGGGCAACTGGTAGGTCTTGACCTCCTGCTGGTCAGGAAACTTAATTCCTCCAACTAAGCTAACTCTGGATTCTACTGATTGGCCTCCCCTATGCATTCTTCATAAGAGGAAAAATTTAACCACCAAGTAAAAAGATCCTTGAGGAGTAAATATATTTTTTAAAAACTCACCCATTTGTTTTTAACTTGAATGCCTGTAGCTCTGTAAATAGTTGCACCAGGAAGTGGA